TACGGCGTACTAAAAGCCGATTAGTGGCAAACGACACCACGTAACGCAAGGCGCTTGCGTGATGCGTACGTAGCACCATTCCGCAGTACTAAAACTCTCTATTAGCGTGCACAGCGAAAGCGCCATCTTTGGTCGTCCTGCCTTCTCTCTCTCGAACGCTCACATGCGCACGTGCACATATATCCATTGCACTCTCGATGTATGTTTAGGGGCGAAAAAGGGAAGTTTATTGTACACTTAACTTGTACGTACACAAACGAAACATCGAAAACAAGTAAAGACAGTGTATAACATCTTACAAATGAGCACCAACCAAATGTTACAAGTGAAAGGAAAACTAAAAAAGAATCAAATTAATCACTTTTAACAGTTAATAACATTTACGACTCATCACATTTACGATTAACTGTTAATCACATTTAACAGTTAATCACATTTACGACGTGGACCAACATAAAAGGGAACAAACCACGATGCTGGCCTCTTTTTAGGGGCGAAGCTCCTTATAGCGGCACCCGTTCGTCCCTCGTAGCCGTTGTAGTAGTGTGTAACAAGTATAACATTTTGACCTCCAAGGTGGTGCCGGGGAGAGATTTATTCTGTGCGTTGTTGAACAATAAAAGACAGCGCTCAACGTACATGCCGATGGCTGCAAAGGGAAAAATGAGAGACAGGAGAATTCGGCTTTTAGTTAACGCGCACGCTGCGAATTTTTCATTGTTCAACAACGCACAGAAGACAAGAAAGGGTTGCCACGTTATACTCGCTGGGCGTAACCTCCTAGGTTTTAGAAAGGTTTAGCGAGCGTTGGGTCGCAGTGCCATGAATACAGTGAACTAGTATATACCATGAACTCGAGGTGGTTACAGGTGTGAAGTAGACCCGAAGCGCAAGCCGTTAGAAAGTGTGCGTGTGCCTCCTCTCGTTCAGTGCTTGGAATTTCCGCTGGATGGCGGTGCTTCTATATGAGGACTATATGATGAAAAGATGCGAGATGGTGGTACTTGGAGTGTTGAATAGGTGGACGAACGGACACACAGACAGATGCATGGACGGACGCACGAATGGCTGCATGGACGGATGGACGCATGGACGGACGCAGGAGCGGATGCATGGACGAAAGCAGGGACGGACGCACAGATGGAACGTGCGGACGCACGAACAGACGCACGCACGGACGGGCGGATGGACGCACGGGCGGCCACACAGACGCACGCATGGACCGACGGAAGCAAGAGCGAATGGACGGACGGATGCTTCGCCCCACTATCCATCATTCACTCCGTGGATATGCTGCCATCTTTTTTTTTTCCTTCTTTAAAACTTGCCCATTGTCGGTCGCGGTGTGTTTTCTTTGACGATCTGTTTTGCGAACGGCGGCGGCTAACTGCGTGCGAGTACAGGCGACAACACTTCTATCTAGAACGCCTGCACTGGTGCATCGCAAGACGAAAACGTAGCATACACTAGGTTTGATATAAAGGTCGCGATGTCCCGATTATGTTTCCCTGGGACGACTATAGAAGGCGTAAAGGCGTCCTTTTCTTCGCAGTCAGTTTGAACAGTCGCAACAAACATTTCCACCTTTCTTCTCCACTGGGATAGTCCAGGATTCGTTGCGCTCAAACAACACTAGAGCGTGCCTAGTTAAAACACTGACCACCAACACTCTCCGTTATCATATCAACCGCACACGTTCTCAGTGCGTTGTTTAACACGTTAAACACCGCACTTCAATGTTTTACAGGCGAAGCTCTTGGGCTGTGGGTCGTTTCCTGCTATAGTTGTAGTAGTATGTAACCACCACTAGTCAATGGATTGCTCAATAGATGGCGTTGTGTATATGTCCTTGGCGTTGTGTATATGTCGTTGTGTATGTGCCCCGCCGGAGGTCGTCTAGTGGCTAAGGTACTCGGCTGCTCACCCGCAGGTCGCGGGATCGAATCCCAGCTGCGGCGGCTGCATTTACGATAGAGGTGGAAACGTTGTAGGCCCGGGTGCTCAGATTTGGGCGCACGTTAAAGAACCCCAGGTGGTCGAAATTTCCGGAGCCCTCCACTACGGCGTCTCTCATAATCAAACGGTGGCATTGGGACGTTAAACCCCACACATCAATCAATGGAAATAACATTACTTTAGTAGTTTTCGTATAGTTGACGGATAGACAGACAGACGGGCGGACGCTTCGTCCCACTAATCGTCATTCACTATGTGAATACGCTGTGCATTTTTTTCGCCGCTGCATATTCAGCAGGAATCGCTCAGTGAACAAGCGGAACGCAGGCTGACATCTCGTGGCTCTGGCGTGTCTAGAGTGCAGCAGCCCATTCGCCTGCCCTGTTTTGCGCAGAGCGGGCGCCGACTGGGCGACCCCGGCTGTGAACAGCTTGCCCTTGTCCCGAGCGCAGACATACAGTATAGGCACGCATGGCATGTCAGCGTTGAAAAAGAAGTGTAGCTTGTATCAGCGCGGTACACATAAGAAAGAAAGACGACACAGGCGTAAAGAGAGGTATAGGCGCCAACATAGCGGTGGGCTGCGTCAGCGCCTACCTAAAAAAACGCACACACAGAAAAAGACTACAATAACTGCTAAAGGAACGGGTAGCTACGATCGCGCTGGCTCTGCGGCATATTTACAGTGCCCGTTCTGCTATGGCACGGGGCATAGCCGCGTAGCGAGTGTATGATACAAGCGCCGTCCCGAGTATAGTATATGACGTAGAGCTGCTGATTTCATCGTTGCTGCGGGAACAACACCGATATTGTGATGTAACAGTAAAGGCAACCTTTATTAGGCCCTGAAGACACGATGAAGCGACCACGCCCAAGGCACAGAACTCAGACAAGCCAAGTCCCCACAGCAGAAGAAGATGACGACCACTCATGATGATGAATATGTGTAAAGATAGATGATGTGCTTAATGAATGCCTACAATTGTGCGATGTCAACCTGTCACTCTTCATCGAAGAAAATGCGGTTCTAGAAAGTGTTTCGGACAGCACCCGTTGTTTACGATTTGTAAACGCCGTTGTACCAAGTGCGTTCGCGTCTATTTCTTATTCATGCGTGCACCGCACCACGCTGCGACAGGGAAGACCGTATCGAGCACGTATACCTTGCGTGATGATTTATTTCACGCTAAAGACAAAGACAACAAAGCACTCTATACTGCGACCGCCGTGCAGCTATGCGGGATAAACACAATAAAGCAATCGAGAACGAGCTTGGGAATGCTGTAGGCCGAGATAAACGAGCTGAACGTGCTTCTTCTCGATCGCGTTAATGACACAAGGCAGCATTCACTCGCCAGCACCGAAAAGCACGCGCGAAGCTTTCAACTTCGCTTACTATACACCTATTCATGTCCCCCAGCGGCAGAGATGACGGCACTCGCTTCCCGCAGTAATCAAGGCGATTCGCCTGCTGCCCGACAATAGAGAGTTTTAGTACTGCGGAATGGTGCTACGTACGCATCACTCAAGCGCCTTGCGTTACGTGGCGTCGTTTGCCACTAATCGGCTTTTAGTACGCCGTAGTACCCGCGTACGTAACGAGCGTGAAGCGTGTTGCGCCATCTGGTAGATCGAAATAGAAGCACGTGTTGTTGACAGGCTATGACAGCCAATGTGAGCCAATACAAGTGTTATAGCCAGATTATGGCCATATTTTAAGCCACAGAGCCGGTCGGTGCTTGCCCACGATGCCGCCATTTTGCAAAACGAAGTCTCGCGCTGGCGCGAACTTGTTCGAGAGCGGCGCGATCAGCTCATACGTACGCACGCACGCATCTCATGCGTGCGTACGTAGCGGCTGCGTACGTAACGCGATACGTGCGCGTTGCGGTCTGCGCATGCGCACTACGCAGAACGTGGCGTCCTTACGTACGCAACGCCGCCACGTACGCAGCGTACGCAGTACTAAAACTCTCTAATGCGGCCAGCGTGCGCCGCCGTACAGCCGACGACGTGGCTCAACCGTTCAGCACTATACGCCTTCCAAGCGTCTGCGCACGCGCGAGTCACTGACGACGCTCGACTACCGCGCTCGCCGCATCATGTCGGCATCGGGATGCCGCGCCGCTATATGAGATTTCCCCGAAGTTGATTGATATGTCGGGTTGAACGTCCCAAAACCACCGTGTGATCGTGAAAGACGCCCGGTAGTGGAGGACTCCGGAAATTTCGACCACCCATGGGGTTCTTTAACGTGCACCCGAATCTGAGTACGCGGGCATACGTCGTTTCCGCCTCCATCGGAAATGCAGCCGCCGCAGCTGGGATTCGATCCCGCGACATGCGGGGATTTCCCCGAAGCGTGAAACAGACTGTACATCCGGCGAAGAGCTGCGTGGGGCTGCATTTTGTGATGTTTGTCGACTGCGGGAAGTATGGCTATCTGAAGATCCTGGAACTGCCACATTAAAATACCAGGCTTTAGCAGTAATTAATGGTAAAGAAAGTTGTGGGCAGCTCACGTAAGTGGTGCATAACATAGAACATATGCTGCATACGAAGCTATATGAACATTCTTCCCATCAAGGTATATCCCATATATTGAGGTATATCAAAGTAGCATATTCCCATATAATAAAGGAGTGAGAGAATTCAGGTATAAAAGGTCAATGGGACTGTTGATAGATGGATGGATGGATGGATAGATAGATAGATAGATAGATAGATAGATAGATAGATAGATAGACAGATAGATAGATACTGAATCACAAATTACGATTATTAACTGTTAAACACATGTGCCAACGCATGGCGGCATTTTTGTTGTTGTTGTTGTTGTTGTTGTTGTTGTTGTCGTTGTTGTTGAATATCGAGTGCCTTGAAGTAACGTGTGATTGCGACGCATGTACCGACAGTTCTTCGTGTGTAGCGTCCGACCAATAAAAAAAGTAAGGAGATCCGGAGCCGGGAGAACGCGCCCGGAATGTCCTTAGTGGTGTCTCTTTCCGTGCACGCGAAGAAAGAGGCGAATGCTGCAAGCTTACCCTCCGCTGATTGGACAGCAACTCTTGGGGGACACTTGCGACGGCAGGGCGTAGCTGTCCTCTGGACACGGCTTGGACGCCACCGCGGGACACGCGATGGCCGAACAGTTGCGCTCTGCACATTGAAAGAGAAGTTGCGAATGTAACTAGTCGAGATCAAGCACACTCCGGCATTCCACAGGTGCCTCAATTGTGACCATTATATTAACAAATACGGATATCACGTGCTATACACAGCAAAAAAAAAAAAAAATTGGCACCTCCAAGGTTGACACCTACATTTCCACGTCAGGAAACACTGTCAAGCGGTAGACGGATAAGTGGTTAATTAACAAGCATTTGTTAATGAGTATTATCAATGTCAATTCAGCAGCGGCAAGGTATTCCCGCCTCTGTTTTGAGTTCGCCGGCGAAGGTAAGACTTGTCATCAATGTCATCGGAGTAAGTAAACTGCCTTTAAACAATGTAATCAATTAATTTTCTGCGGGCACGTGGTTTAGTAATCCAGTCAATTAGTTCAAACGAGTAATTTAAAGATGCTGTTGACTATAATATATCACATCCGCTTTACTTGTTACACACACACACACACACACACACACGCACACACACGCACACACACAAAGATAAAAGAAAAATCACAAATTGATCTGCGTACCAAGCATCAAACGCGGTACGTGGGACAGGGTGCTCCTATTTAGCAATGTACAGTGGCCGTAAACATAGTGCACATCAAGTGAGCACGAATAATGATTTGCTAGTTTCATAGCAGCTTCATTATTTTTCAAGACTTATAGTAATTACCTTGAGCCAACAGTGATTTGCAGTGTGATTCCATTACTTTCAAGAGTAATGTATTCAATGACCATGGCGATTGCTGCCCTTATCAGAGCAGTTTTATTTTGAAAATGTGGTAAAATGTTTGTGTACAGGTATAGTCAATCCTCATTATAACAAACTTGCATATTACGCGAAAATAAGCTTGTTATATAAAAAAAGTCGTTATAACAGTATATTTCCACCACTGTATCCGTTGCAAAACTATTCGTCGTGTACTTCGTTATAACCGATATTTCATTATATCCGGGTTCGTCATTTCGAGGTTTGCGTGTAGTTGGAGCAAGGAAATCGCACTGGCCTCTGTAGAATAGGGAACAAGATAGTCAATCCTCGTTATAACAAACTTGCATATTACGCGAAAATAAGTTTGTTATATCAAAAAAAGTCGTTATAACAGTACATTCCCACCACTGTATCCGTTGCAAGACTATTCGTCGTGTACTTCGTTATAACCGATATTTCATTATATCCGGGTTCGTCATATCGATGTTTGCGTGTAGTCGGAGCAACGAAATCGCACTGGCCTCTGTAGAATAGGGAACAAGATAGTCAATCTTCATTATAACAAACTTGCATATTACGCGAAAATAGGTTTGTTATATCAAAAAAGTCGTTATAACAGTATAATCCCACCACTGTATCCGTTGCAAGACTATTCGTCGTGTACTTCGTTATAACCGATATTTCGTTATATCCGGGTTCGTCATATCGAGGTTTGCGTGTAGTTGGAGCAAGGAAATCGCACTGGCCTCTGTAGAATAGGGAACAAGATAGTCAATCCTCATTATAACAAACTTGCATATTACGCGAAAATAAGTTTGTTATATCAAAAAAGTCGTTATAACAGTGTATTCCCACCACTGTATCCGTTGCAAGACTATTCGTCGTGTACTTCGTTATAACCGATATTTCATTATATCCGGGTTCGTCATTTCGAGGTTTGCGTGTAGTTGGAGCAAGGAAATCGCACTGGCCTCTGTAGAATAGGGAACAAGATAAGAGCACAACGCACGTTCGCTTTTTTTTCTCGGTATATTCACAGAGAGAGAGAGAGATAAAGATGCAAGGAAAGGCAGGGAGGTTAACCAGATGCACATCCGGTTTGCTACCCTGCACTGGGGAAGGGATAAAGGGGAGAAAAGAGGTTGTAGAGAGATGAGAAGGTACACACAAGAAGGTACACATATTCACAGACGTTTCGGCCGGCTGGTGGACCAGCGTTTGCCAAAGTAAATGTATACATATAACCGTGCACCGGGCGTTACGACGGGAAACGCGCGTGCTCGCGTTTTATCGCTTTCCGTACGTGCGCATCGAAGAAGAAGGAGACCTGCTGTAAAAGGAGGAGGAGGATGCCGGGGATAAAGCGACGCCATTCCAATGCCAAGCACCCATTATTCACGCCTCCGGGGGCAGTCTTGAGCGGAGCATTAAACGGCGTTATGTGACGCAACAAACCACCGCCACTCCGGAATAGCGAGAGTACACCCTCTCCCCTTCGAAAAGCTTTCTACTTCTTTTTTTTTTTTTTTTCGAAACCGCGCGTGCCTTCCCGACGCACGCATAGATCGTCCCTTACTCGAAGGAGCCGGCCGCGCGTTGTACCGCGTTGATTCGAACGTAGTCCGCGTCCCTCCGTGAATAGTAGCGCCGCAGTCTTGCTCCAATAAATAAGAGCCCGTCCGGCAGACCACCGCGAGCCCTTATTGATTGATTGACTGATTGATTGATATGTGGGGTTTAACGTCCCAAAACCACTATATGATTATGAGAGACGCCGTAGTGGAGGGCTCCGGAAATTTAGACCACCTGGGGTTCTTTAACGTGCACCCAAATCTGAGCACACGGGCCTACAACATTTCCGCCTCCATCGGAAATGCAGCCGCCGCAGCCGGGATTCGAACCCGCGCCCCGGCGGGTCAGCAGCCGAGTACCTTAGCCACTAGACCACCGCGGCGGGGCGCCCGCGAGCCCTTTTTCAAGACGATATTGTTACGAGGTTGGTTGCTTCTGAGCGAGATGTATTTGCAGAGTAAAAACTACAGGCAAGAGACACAATGGCTGATTGGCCCAGTCGCGCGCCTGTCAGTCGCACCTCTTCCTTTTCTTCCTCTCCGTAGCAGGACCCCCGGGCGTTGGAGCGCCGTCTCGGCGAGAGTCCGGAGAAGTGCGACAGAAGTAGGGTTTCAAGCGCGAAACATGGACAATGTCAACTAGTGACGAACTTGGTGACGTATTGGAGTGCAATGGCGCTATCTCGTAGGTTACGTCGCTAACTTGACGTAAGACTAGGTAGGGTCCGGCGTATCGGGACAAAAGTTTTTCGGAGAGACCTACACGGCGACACGGTGACCAGAGGAGCACGTGGTCACCTGGGGCAAACGTTATATTTCGATGCCGGTGGTCGTAGCGGGCTTTTTGCATATCCTGTGACCTGGTGAGGCGAGACTGGGCAACTTGACGAGCCATGTGAGCCCGATCAATGGCTTCGCGCGCGTACTCGGAAGGAGATGGCACGAGAGGCAAGGTGGTTTCAAATGGCAATATGGGGTCGCGACCATATAGAAGATAAAAAGGCGAGAATCCCGCAGTGTCATGTCGAGAGGAGTTATATGCGAAGGTCACATAGGCCAACGTTGTATCCCAGTCTCGATGATCATCGGAGACGTACATCGAAAGCATCTCTGTGAGCGTGCGGTTGAGACGTTCAGTTAGGCCATTAGTTTGTGGGTGGTAGGCGGTAGATAGCTTATGGGCTGTAGCACACGATCGAAGGAGGTCATCGACAACTTTGGACAGGAAAGAGCGGCCGCGGTCCGTAAGCAGCTGTCGGGGTGCACCATGGTGTAAGATGACGTCATGAAGAAGAAAATCCGCGACGTCAGTGGCGCAACTGGTTGGCATGGCCTTTGTTATCGCGTAACGGGTCGCATAATCTGTGGCGACGGCAATCCATTTATTTCCTAGTGTCGTCGTCGGAAAAGGGCCAAGAAGGTCGAGTCCCACGCGATGAAATGGTTCAGAGGGGACTTCAATTGGGTGAAGATATCCAGCTGGCAGCAAAGAAGGTCTTTTCCGGCGCTGGCAGAGGTCGCAAGTGGCGACATATCGACGTACGCTGCGGTACAATCCAGGCCAGAAAAATCGACGTCGCACGCGGTCGTATGTGCGGGAAACGCCGAGGTGTCCCGCTGTTGGTGCGTCGTGAAGTTGTTGAAGTATGGCAGGCCGTAGATGACGAGGGATGACAAGCAGAAGCTCAGGGCCTTCAGTGGTGACGTTGCGGCGGTAGAGGATGCCGTCATGCAGCACGAACATACGGGATTCAGCGTCATGGCTGTCAGACTGGATGGCGTCGATGATAGTGCGCAATGACTCATCCCGTCGTTGTTCGATGCGCATATCGCTGACGTCTGTAAACGCCATTACTCTGCTCTCCAGGTCAGGCGCAACGGGATCAGGAGGATCTACCGGATATCGAGAAAGACAGTCTGCGTCCTTGTGCAAACGGCCAGACTTGTAGCTGACGCTAAACGAAAATTCCTGAAGCCTCAGAGCCCAGCGAGCCAGACGTCCAGTCGGGTCCTTCAGAGAAGTCAGCCAACAGAGGGCGTGGTGGTCCGTAACGACAGTGAAAATGCGACCATATAAATATGGCCGAAACTTGGCGACGGCCCAAACTAAAGCTAGACACTCTCTCTCGGTGATGGAATAATTCATCTCCTGGGGAGAAAGCAGGCGACTGGCGTAAGCTATCACGCACTGTCTACCGTGGTGCCGCTGAGCGAGAACTGCGCCGATACCGTGGCCACTGGCGTCGGTGCGAACCTCTGTGGCAGCAGAAGGATTAAAGTGGGCAAGTATGGGGGGCGTAGTTAGGTAGCCGATGAGAGCGGCGAACGCTTGAGCCTGCTCAGGGCCCCATGAGAATGTGGTATCCTTCTTCAGCAAATCTGTCAGTGGCCGGGCAACGTCAGCGAAGTTTTTCACAAAACGGCGAAAGTAGGAACATAAGCCGACGAAGCTACGGACGTCGGATGTAGAACGGGGCACTGGAAAGCTACGGACGACGCGGATCTTTTCGGGATCTGGTTGGACACCATCGGCGTTTACAATATGGCCCAGAATGGCAATCTGACGGTGACCAAATTGACACTTCTTGGAATTGAGTTGTAGCCCAGCTGTTCTGAAGACTGCGAGAATTGCAGCGAGACGGGTCAGGTGGCTATCGAAAGTAGATGAAAAGACTATCACATCGTCTAGGTAACAAAGAC